AAAGTTTACTTCTGCATCCAGTGACCTTGGTTAAAGAGATACTGAAAATGGCCAAAATTACCTGGCAGCTTTTATCCCAGCCAATTGCTTTGACATTCACTTGGTAGGGGTTCAGACTGGAGTGGCTGAAAAAGCAGCTGCCCTCTCAGCAATTTTCCCCACAGAAGCTGCTGCCCTGCTGGAACAGCTGCTGAGTAGCCTGTGTAATTTCCCTTAGTTTTCTGGACTGTAAATTGCAACAGCTCGGGAAATAACTCGCAGCTTGTTCAGCCAACCTTGCTTTGTAGGCAGTGATTCTTAAGAGGACAGGTAAATGTGGTACTTGGCCCACTTAACCTGCTACTAAATCTGTCACCACGAACTGGTGGTGTTTTTTCTCTGTCAACTGTGCCCCTTACTTTCTTCTCCCCCCTCCAAAATTCTGGAAACACATAGAATCACAGAATGGTTTGGATTGGAAGGGACCTTAAAGACCATCTAGTTCCAACCCCCCTGCCATGGGCAGGGACACCTTCATATTCCTATTATGAATAATGTATTAACATTCATATTGTTAATATATTTATTTTTAGGTAGTTGTAATCCATGTCCAGAGACTGTAGATGTGAAATGCAACTGTGGAAAAACTGTCATTCAAGTGCCCTGTGGCAGAGAGCGCACCATCAAACCTCCCAGATGCAAACAGCTCTGCAGGTCAGTATAGAAAGTGTGTGTGTTTCTGCAGCGGGATTTAACGTGTCCTGAAAGAACTTGGTGATTGGAATTTAATTCAGAATTCTTGTATAATTTTACTGTGATATTAACCACTGCCAAAGGTGAGAAGCAAATTCATTATAAAAACGTGTTTGTCTCAATTCTTTATATCTTGAGCATAACTGCCCAGTGACTGTAAATTTATATTTCTTGCTGCCACACTGATTCATTCTCGGATTTTACTTCAGTCGACCACCTACCTGTCACCACTCCACCCAGGAGAAACACTACTGTCACTTTGGTCGGTGTCCTCCGTGTCGTCAGTCCTGCCAGAAAACGTTAGCGTGTGGTCATTTGTGCCCTGTTCCCTGCCACGATGAAGCACTTGTGAAGCAAACTGGCTTAGTAAGTAAATAGTGAAAAATGGTGTGTTTGTTTGTGTTCTGAAAAATGAGCAACAGTTGTTTCACCTTAATCTTGTTGGAGGCTTTTGGAGTTCAGAGTAAATAAATAATCAAGCACAGAGGTAGGCATACTGCTTACCTGAGAAATGAAGCAGTTCTAGCTCCTTTGTTGAAATCTAATTTATTATGTAATATAATTGAATGTTCAGTTTTCAGCAGTTAGTTATTGCAGAAATTAAGCAATTTTTGTTAGAGTGGCATTACAAATATTTGATTTCAAATGTAAGCAATTATTTCTGACATAAGAGCAAAAAATGAATTATAACTCTGATATTTACCAAACCATCAATGTTTGCACAGGTTAGGAGTGATAAATTGTTTGGCATCTTTAAACATCGCATGTGCCCGCATGAAGATAATTTCACTTGTTTAGTAGTTGAAACATTTTTACCTCTATTAAATGCTTAGAATTTGTTTGCTGTTGTTTTGTTTGGCTTGGTGCTTGATTTTTAGCAGTAGGGCCACAGGCCTTCGAAGGATGAAATTGTTATTTTTTGTGTGTAGGCAGTGTTGAAATTTCCATTAGTAAAAATTTAGTTCCTAGAGAGTGGATTTGTTAGAACTGGGATCTCTTTAGATGATGTATTGGTGTATGTTCAGGCAGACAGTTCCGTCTGTGTGTTGTATTCAACCAGTGTTGTCTTTTGCTCTCAGCATCAGTCTGCAGGTCCTTGGGAACAGCCGTCCGAGCCAGCTTTTATTCAGACTTCATTACCATGCCCTCCCTGTGTGGTTCCTATACCAGTGTAAGTATTAAAAAAGAAAACGAATACAATTTTGGTATGGAAAGAGATTTTCTTCTTCTTATCCTGTTGTAGAGATGGACATGACAGTAACCATATTTTCCTCTTGAGATGCTATGGTTTTCACGTAGGCCGATTCTCATAAAACTGAGGAGCGTTGGTGGTTGTTTATTACATTTTTTGTGGTCCGTGCTCACCCTATGAAAGCACGGATAGCCTTGAAGATTGGTTGTTTCTAATACACGTTGTGTGCAATGCCACCCTCAAAGAAAAGTATGCAAATTGCAAAGTCATAGACTGGTTTGGGTTGGAAGGGACCTTAAAGACCGTAGAGTTCCAACCCCCCTGCCATGGACAGGGATACCTTCCACTAGACCAGGTTGCTCAAAGCCTCATCCAGCCTGGCCTTGAACACTTCCAGGGATGGGGCATCCACAGTTTCTGTGGGCAACCTGTTCCAGTGCCTCCCCACCCTCTGTGGGAAGAACTTCTTCCTGATGTCCAATCTAAGTCTACCCGCTTTCAGTTTACACCCCTGACCTCTTGTCCGGCCACTACCTGTACCAGGTGCCCAAGTAGGATACAACTCGCCGCTGCCCTTTGAGCCCAGTGATCCTGCCAGCTTTTCGTGTGTCTGGCACCATTACATCTCAGCTTCAACGCCAGGTTGCTGTGGGCATCTTCTCCTCCGCAGATTCAGTACTTACCATGGCAGAAGGCAGTCAGGTTGGATAAGCAGTTTCCCCTTGGAGTGGAACAGGAGCGTGCTACAGTGGAACTGAGAGGTCCTAGAAGCCAAATTAACTGGTTTTAGGAAGATTTTCTTGGATATAAGTGAGCTGTGTAGAGCTCCTGTGCTACATCTGCTTTGTACTGTACTAGGTGGAAGACGGTTGCTGATACCCTGCTGTCCTAAAGACCATCTGTAGCTATTGGTAGTTGTTTTGTGTTGAAGTTGTTATCCGGGATTCTTTTTTTTTTTTTTTTTTTTCCCCTTAAATACGCTTCTAGAAATATTTAGGAACTGATTCACTGGTATTTTAGCTTGAATATTAATGATGTTTTCATTACTCTCCCTTATGAGGTTTCAGTAGAGAAATCAGAATAATACCTGGAAAGGAGATGACAGATAGGAAATTAGAGATAAAAAGAGAAAGATGCTTTTCAAAATAAATTGAGCTAAAATACTGATTTAATTTTTAGGAGATCAGTGTTTGGATGAGTCACCATCTAATCCCTACAGAATTCTGATCGGGGGGCAGTTTTCCTTTGCTAGGGATGGTAGAACATTCTAAAAGAATTGTAAACATAAGAGCAGACCAGGTAGTGCTCTGAAACAGCTGAGAAATCCGAAGGGATATGTTTGTAAAACCAAAGGAGAAGATATTTGGAAGCAGTTCAGGTAATTTTCTAAAATAAAAATTATTAATTTAATATACAAATATAATTAATCTGCACATGAAACACTGCTGGATTGCTGTCATAAAATACAGCAATCCAAACACCCGTTTAAAAAGAGAAGGCATTGATCTGCCTAGGTAGATCATTTTCTCTTAGTTTGTGCTTTTTAAAAATAGATCACATTATTTTGTGTGAGAAGCACTGTCACTGTTTTAGGTCCCTTATTAAAGAAATACGTGTTTTCTAAATCTCTGATTTTTTTCTCTTTAACAGGGAATGTCTTGGGCAGCATGAGGTGAGTCATAGAAACTGCCTTTTTAAGTGGAATGTGAAGTTTATCTCACTTTACCAGTCTGCAAAAGAGAGTATTACAGAGAAATATTATGTGGCTTTTTTATATTTTAAAACCAGTAAAGTGCCTTATCACAAGGGCTTGCATATCAGAAGGTACTTTAGTTCCTTTTCGAACAATATGTCATTACTTTTTGGACTTGGTGGACAGAAATTTAAACTGGTGGTACTCTGTATGAAATTTATGAAGCTATTTGTGTGTTCTTGCAGTTGTTTAAATAGTGTTTAATTTTTTGTGTGTGTGTCTTTTTTCATTATAATACTTCGCAGAGGGGGGTTCTTCATTCTATTGTGTTATTCTCCCCCTGTCACACACTTTCCTCAGATCTCCTACAAGCTGCCTTGTTTATTTGTAAAGGATAAGGAACATAGTGGCATACAGGAAAATGCTCATGGGACTCGGATCTGGGCATGCATGGGTGAAATCAGACAATACAGTGGAAGCTTCTTTAGAGTTCCTTATTAGCTTGTCTTTTTGGTGTGCAGCCTTCCCCGGTTTTGGGTGAAGTCCTTGTCTGCTTTGGCTTACATGAGAAGAAAATCTAATTGGCGCTTGTAGCTAAATAACTCATCATTATTCAGTCATTTCTAAAAGTCATGAAATTTAAGATCAACTCATTTTTCTCAATTTTAAAATATGATCGCTAAATTAATAACTTAAACCCTCTTGCTGTTACAGCTTTGTCTATGAGTAAGTCTGGCATAAGCCCATTATCAGAGTGCAGCTAACAATACTGTGACAAACCTGGTTTCATTTTAAGCTAGTAAAAAATTCTAGAAAACTGTAAACACTTAAAAATATTTAAAGACATCCCCCTTCCTTTTTTTCTTCGATTTTCCCTTAATAATCTTTTGGTGTGTGTGTTTATAATGCTGGCGTGATTATGTGTTGGCAACATCTACAGATGTTGTTAACGACGTTTCTGTCCCCGCAGTGTGTGCAGCACCTGTGTTGATCCAACCAAGCTGTGATTACAGCTTCCACAGAGCCACTCTGCAGTGTGTCCGTTGCTAAGGAAAAGTGTGCTGTGAAGACGGGCGAAAAGAACCACTGTGCCTGTTGTTGAAACAGCCGGGTTCTGGTTTGGCTTTCCCCAGTAGAACTTGCAGCTGTATCAGCCAGTGGTCTGTGGGGTCAGGGATACGTTTTATGACAGGCCATGTGGGATCTCACCCGAACTTTCCTGATTTCATTTCGTGTATAAACGAAATACCAGCTGTGGCCAGTTGCCCCAGTATATTAATTGCTTGCTGTAGACAGTCTGGTTTTGGTACTGTTCAGATGTACACGGTTGTGAAGCTTATGTCCCTCCCCATAACAGAGGACAGTATAGCTCTTATTAGTGAAAATGGTTCCAAATACTACATATTTAGTAACTACTTATTTCAGAATACTTAAAAACCCTCAGAAAACCCCTTCTCTGTTGCATACTAGTCTTGGCAGAATCAGCAAAGGGCTTTGAGTCATGTTTTCTCTATGGATTAATACAGAAAATAAGGAAAAATCCCGGGGAGTCTATACTTCAGTAGTTTAGATTTATTGATGCCGTAGGCAGTCTAGATCAAACCTTCCTTCTCTCAGCCAGCAGAGTGCACTGCTCCTTTCCCGCTGATGTTCAGCAGTTTCTGCAGTGGAATGTGGTGTCCTGATCCTTGAGATTTTGAAAGCAGTCAAGGAAAAGGCTGATTTGTTCATGTGTGTGTGAGCGGGTGTTTACAGTGTACTTTATGTTGTTCCAAGATATCTAAAAAGAAAAAAAGAAACCCCAAGCATGTAATGTCTCTCCAGTGTTTTACAGCCACATTGGCTCTTAACAACCTCCCCTCAAACTAACTTTTGTTAACAAGAAAAAACGCTTGGATCTAAGTACAAACACTTTCCCCCTATAGGAGTTTCCAGCCCCTAAGGGGATTTTCACTGGGAAAAGTGAACTTTTCACAGGTGATAAAAGGATTGGTTTTCTCAAGCACCGTTGTGCTGTGAAGAGGGGCTCATTACTGTGCTGTGTTACTGCCTATGATGCACTGTTGTTACAGCTCCTGCAGTGGAGGAGACGTAAAAGAAACAAATCAGGAATGAAACTAGTTATAAAGGCTGCTTGTATTTTACCGGGATGCCTGCAGGTGATGAGTGGAAAAGAGAATGAAAGCAACAGTTTGAGTTGTAAAGACCGTGATTTCCTTTACATTTTTACTTGGACTGTAATTTTAATTTGTGTAGGTATTGGAGTTGGTTGTTTTGTTGGGTTTTGTGTGTTTTGTTCTTGTAGTTTCACTTTGGAATTCAGTTGAAAAAGTGTTTTTAAGGGATTGATGTAGTTCAAGCTCTTACATGTCTTCGGGTATTTAGAACAAGCAATTTGTCACTTGAAGCAACAGATTAAAACTACAGTTGTGTGAAATGTGTTCAGTGGAAGTCTGGTTCTACATAATGTTTAACCTAAAATAAAATTTCTTCTAGCTACAGTGTGCAGCTGTCTTTCCAGTAATTTTACTGTGTAAGTCTTGGGTGTTTTTACCTGTATTTAGAAAAATTAAGAACTCTTTATTCCTTGATTTGTAGGTCCTTAAAAGTAGGTCTCAATTTTTAGTTTATAGGTCAGAAAAATCACCTGTCATCAACAGTTGCTGCCACCTCAATGATGCTCTACTTTTTACTGGAACTGCTGTAAGCATTGGCATGTCATAGCAGTTCCATGTATGTGCTCTTTTGAAATCAAATTGTGAGAGCTAATGTTTATATTCAAGAGCCAGTTTTGTGCGAAAGCATTAATTAAAGCCCCTACAAGGTAAATGAGTACTAACAAGGAAATATTCACTGGATATGGTATTAACTTCTGTGCTGTATTTAATTCTTTCGTAGTTGCTTCATTTCATTAAATGTTCTAGGGGAAGGGAAATGTTCTGGTTTTGTTTGTGATTAGTATTTTGAATATCCTGTAATGTCAGTCTTGTTCTCGAGCAGATAGCACTCTTACTGCGTTTTTTGGGGGGGTTTTAGGAGTAAATTTAATGCTATGTTTTACTGTTCTAAGGGTTTTTTTTAGTTGTGGTTCGCTTGTAGGAAGAAGACCATTACTCTGCCTCTGGGTAAAACTGTATGTAAAATCTGATAAGATTCCTCTTTATGGCTAAATGCCTTATGAATATTTCCAAAATTTCTCTGCCCTATTGTACTTTATTTTTATATCCCAATTGATGTATCTGTTAATGGCTTTTATGCATTTGGGAAATGTGTTGGAAAACAACTGAAAGCTGTCTTATCCTTTTTTTCCTTGCCTTCCTTTCCTTATTCTCTGGAAAACCTGTGGTCTGAAAATGCCTCTTTATTTTCTTCCTTTTCCCAATCAACTTTCATGAAATACTTCTGGTCCTCATCTGCATTCTTTATTCCTCAGCTCACCAGTCTCCTGGAGCTTGTGGCTCCTTTGATACTGGTCTTTGTAGCAAGAACAGCGACCTGCATTTAGCCATTTCAGAAATGCATTCCAACTGGCCAAAGTGAAACTTTCCTGTACTTTGTCCTTGGGGATATTAGTAATAAATCCAAACTTTTCAAGAAAAGGAAACAGAATTTGAAAATATAATGCAGTTATATAATAAAAAGGAGTGGAAATGGGGCAGCAAGTAAAAGTGGAGAAGTCAGCAGTGGCAGACCTTAATGTTTAGTTCACCTTTTCGTTCATTCTTTTACCTTCCAGCATCCTTTGATTACTTACAGTGCTACTGTGAGGAAGGAGGAGGAGAGAGATGGAGGAGGAGGAGAAGGGGCAGGATATTATGAGCCATAAAAGCTCTGGTAATTGCTGTGCGTTCGCCACATTGGTAGGACTTGTTCGAAGACAGTGGTAGGAGAGTGCCATCAGGATTGTGGAGTTGGAAGAGAGAAGAGGAAGGGGTACCGGGCAAAGCTGCTCCGTCAGCTTGAGCCATGACACAAAATCACACCCTTAGTCTAGTCAGAGTGAGTTATATCACATTAACCTATTGTGTAATAACATCACAAGCAGTTTCGGCTTTTCTCTGCAAAATCATCACGATATTAAGAAAATAATTTTTTGGACAGCATCACAGAAACTAATTTATTTCATGTGAATATTACATAATGGTTGGAAAATGGGAACAGCGAGTTTCCTCTCATGCTTGTGATATTGAGGGACTTGCGCTGTTCAGCTTCAAGGCAGTAACCTAGTTAACAGTTAGGAGTTTACACTCCGTTTCGGTACCAGTGGACATTAAAGGCTTCTGAATAGATGCTCTGAATAGTACTACAAAGCTCTGTTAACTGGAGTGTTAACCTCAAGTTAGAAAGTACAAACTTATCGTAAAACATTGAAATCCTAATCCTGTTGTAGAGCCATTTCTTCTTCCACTTCCCGCTCGTGGGACTTATATTTGATATGGTCAGTATTTGGGTTTTAGAATTTCTGGCTTGCAGGTTGTTTTCTGTTTGTAGAATTGGAAAGTGGTTTGGGTTTATGATGACCATAACCCAATTAGCACGGTGAAAGCAAATTGTAACCGTCTTCTGCTATAACTGTAAAGCAGTTTAGGAATCTCTTACGGAAAGCATAAGTGTCATTTGGGAAAGGGAATAAATCACACTAAAGATTTGAGAATGTAATAGTGTGTTTAAAACAAACAAACAAACAAACAAAAACCACCCACAAGCCTATGGTGCAAAAGTTAGCTTGTTTAATTAATAAAGTGGGCTTTTTTTTTTTTTTTACTGGTATAATTAGTGTAAAACAAATGTGTGTGGTTATGTTGGGATGGGAACCTAAAGTCTGTTTAAAAAAAAAAAGTCAAATAGACATTGCAGTGGTGTTCTTTAACAAATACACTCAAGAACAAAAATTTCTCAGTAATGATGCTGTGCCTCTCTGTGTGTGTATATAGATACAGTCTGTATATATGCTTACTTACGTAGATTACTTTATTTTTATGTTTATTTTTAACTATTAGGTCAGTCCATTACCATGTCACTCTGCAAATCCTTACTCATGTAAAAGATTTTGTGGGCGGCTTCTTGATTGTCAGAATCACACCTGTATGAAGGAATGTCATCAGGTTACCAAACTGAACAGTACTGCAGATGGAAGAAAGGTAGGTTGGTTTCCTCTTTGCTTTTACTTTTGTGTATTTTATATATTGCCTTCTGTTTTAACTGGGAAATAAAGAATTTGCAGCTGGATTTCTGGGTATTCCAGATTCCACTAGGGCACTTGCATGGGCTCTGTTCCCACTGGTGCTGTAGCACTTAGCTAATCCATACTACTTCAGATTAGAAAATTGAGATATCATCTTTAACATTTTGCAAATGCGACCCTTTTTTTTTTACGTTGACATCCAGTACTTTGTTTTCATCAAAACCTTACTTTGAGTCAAAAACCGTATTTGACTCTTGACAAATCTCTTCTAAAGTCAGTTTGTGTAACTGTCAGGATCAAGTTACTGATAAACCTTATATACAAATGGGCTTGCAGCCTAATGGGGAAACTGTTTACTGCGGAGAGCTGGAAGTGGGTCGAAGAGGCTAGCAGATCTTCAGGAAAGAGCGCTGGAAACGTGGCAGAATAGGTGGACGTGAAGCGCTGGGGTGATACATTCACCTTTATCAGTGTCTCCTAGAAACTGCCACGTATGCGGTGAAGAAGCTGTAGGTGTTGCTGAAGGTAATACGGAACAAAAGTGGAACTACAAAACTAAGAAATGTTCTAGTTTTGAGCAGTCAAAAGCACGTAGGCTGTGGTTTGGAGGAAAGCAGCTTTTTAAGTTTTTAAAGCATTACTTTAGAAAAAGTTGCACCATGGTCTCTGGGCATTTAGAAAACTGAGCAAGCGTTCAGCTGGGTACAAAACATAAATGTTACATACCAACTTAAATAGGATGATTTGCTGGTGGGTGCCAGTCCTCGAAGTGCTGTCATGATCTAACAGCTGTATATATTGCAGTTCCCATATTGCTCTGTAACGATTGTGGAAGCTTTGTCTGAGGAGTGTGAGCTGTTAGTGCAGCTTGTGGAAGAGCAACCTGCAGCAAGTCTGACATCCGTCAATACCGAGTGACAGTTGTTTAAGCATCTCCACTTGTGACTACAAGAGGCTGTCTGCCTCCTCCTTCACTTAAACCAATTAAAATCTGAATGGTCAGGATTATTCCTAACTCCCTTTTAAATGTGACAATACATTCTCAGAAAACGAGAACCTATGTACATGTGAAGTATGGGTAAATCTCATTTCTCAGTTTTACTTGAATTTTTATAAACTCAAATTGGTTTTGACCTTTAAACCTTTTGTTCTCTTGTTTTGATAGACTGAATTGCAGGTGTAGCCAGAAAAGGGCTGATTAAATTTCTTGTTTAGATGTCTGAGTAGTGATTTTTCTGTCTGGAATTGAGGTTTGTTCTGCATGTTGTGTTAGAAAATTCAGCAAAAATTGTTCAACTGTAGAAGCAGAAGAAAAGGGGACTGGAAGAAAATGGGGGAAAACTGTATTAAAAACTTTCAATTTATATGCTTTTATTTTGAACAGTGTAAAGTGAAATGTTGGCATGGAATGAGTTGTTTTGGGGAAGCACTGTGTAGCTTCCTTCTTGGATAAACTGGCTTTACTTGGAGTCACTTGTGTGAAACGGAGCAGTTGAATGTGGTGGTGGGCCTGCAGTACTGTGCTGTCAGGGTTCAGCTGATAAACCATGTCATCTGTGTATCTGACTGCAGTCTGGGGTTCTGGAGGAGTCAATAGGATAAGAATATGACTAAAAATGGAGCCTAATTTACTGTGCTGATGTTCCTCAAGTTGATGGCATCACCTGGAGTGAGAGTGCCACCACAGCTGTAGCAGACTTCGGGGCGGAAGCAAGGCCTTAGGGGCTCCCAGCACATACCTAAGCTAATACTCTTTGGAAGATTACACAAACTGACACATATGCAAATGGGACGACTTAAAGTTTGCTTCTTAAAGCCAAGCGAACAAACCTCCCCACCCCTGTATTTACAGAGCAGTATGTCATGACTGAAGTATTACAGTAACATGGTGGGTGGGAAAAGTTAGTTCTGAATATGAAATTACTTCTCTTTCTAACAGTTTTCCATAGAGGATTAACAGGCTTAATGGCAATTTTCTAAAGCACTAATGTTAAGAGGTCTTTTTATGCCCAGGAAGCGAAATAGAACCCTACGTTGGTTTCTTTGACCAACAAACACTGGCATTCTTGCCTTTCTTTTAAAAACATATTTTAATAATTATTTTTGCTTGAGGGATATCTTGCTGAATAGCTGGATTCCCTTAGCAAAAACACCCCAACTCTTTTCCTTTCTATAAAAGTTTGTTAGTGGCATCTAACAAACAAATGTTTGGCACTTTCTTTAGTATTTTCTTTGTGTTTTGTTAGGCAGGTCCAGAATGTTTGCAGTGTGAAGAGGAGTGTACCAAGCCCCGGCCATCTGGCTGTCCTCACCGATGTGTTCTGCCCTGTCATCCTGGGGATTGCCCGTCCTGTCTCCAGATGGTTAAAATAAAGTGTCACTGCAAACTATCAGTACTGTATATCGAATGCTTGTAAGTGTCAGAACAGCGTTTCGTTGGAATGCCGTTAACCAGAAACCATTTGAAATGTCTGGGGATGGGAGCTGCTTCTACACCAAGTTAGGAATGTTCCTTTGAAGGTTGTGATTTGTAATGCAGTGCTTTCTCTATTTAAAATTTTCCAGTGTTTATGTGGTATTACCGTAAGGGCATGGAGTCTTGTGAGCAGAAGTGGTTTTTATAAGACATTTATATTTGGAATTAGACAAATATATCGTAACCTACACTGTTTGCTCTATACGTGGTTTGTTTACAGGATGTGAAGAATTCTATAATGAATTAGAATTAATGTAGTCAGTGTAAAAGGCCTTTACAACTAATGGCCTTCAAACTCTAGCTGTTACAGTTGGAAAACTTCGTAGTAATAATTTGTACTCCTTTTTAATCATTTCTGTGTGTGTGTGTAAAAAGCAAGGCTTTACTGAATATGAGATGGGACTTGCGGATTTAAGTGTCATCCTCTGCGTGTTGCCCTGCAAACATTCCTCCCATGCGTGTGTGCTCTTCTTTGTGCATTTTCTTTTGAAGTACCTCAAATCCTCCAAAGTTATGTGGCTTTGTCTCTAAAATAGCGTGTTTTGCATTAGCCCGAAGGGGTGTGGACAAATGCGCTTTACAGCGAGATATACTTAAAATATACCCCTAATTGTATTGATTTTTGTTGGGTTTAATTTGGAATTTATCACAAATACATCTTTTCTTTTACAGAAAATTAACATGTGCTGATTTAAAAGAAAAGGAGCTTCTTATTTCCTGCAAAAATCAGTGTCCAAAAGAGGTAAGTCAGATTAACTTGATTTGATGGATGTGGAGAATTTTGTGGATTTTGCTTTTTTGTAAGAGTTTGGATACAGTATCACAGAATCACAGAATGGTTTGGATTGGAAGGGACCTTAAAGACCATCTTGTTCCAACCCCCCCGCCATGGGCAGGGACACCCTCCACACAGGCCAAGCAAACTGGAGAAGGGTACTCAAAATGAATGTGCTCAACGGTAGGGGCAGAGGGGGTTAGTGGAGTGTACGGGGGGACAGTTTGTTGTGTCTCGCTGTCAAGTTGGAAGGTTATACTGAATGATCAGAGATTTGTCTCCAAGGCATTAATGGCGTGGAGAGCCATTTTAACCATGCAGATGAGGTTGAGTGGGGAAGAGTATGTCCTCTAACATGGTTAAAAACTGATCTTGAGTTTATACCTCCAGAATAATGGGGTGCTGTTTGGTTAGGAATAATACTGAGCATCGTGCTTGCGGTTGCTCTCGTCTGAGTGCAGGTCTGGTAATCCCTGTCTGTGCGACAGATCGCGGGGAGGTGGAAAGGATTTTATAGTTAACAAGCGAGGTGGGTTGTTAATGCCCTGCTGCGTCAGTGAAGCACGTGATAAGGGGTTAAACCCAGTCTTGTCTGAAGAACAGAGGCTGTTGGGAAACAGGCAGGAATCCTGTGGATTTTTGCATTTACTCGAAAGCAACAAGAATTTTTCTAATAAAGGCAAGGATTCAGATTTGGTGCTTCTGACGCTGGAGTATAATGAAAGAAAATGAAAGTTTTGAACTGAAGTTTGTCAGGGTGAGGCAGAATTCAGAACTACAGGAGATGGCGCAAGAAGACAGGAATCTCAGACCAGAGGACATCGTAGGTAAACCAGCATTAGGGGACTGAGTGGAATCGGGGAAGGGGAATGGGTTGAATCAACTTCCTGGAGTGCCATCTAAATATTGCCTGAGAGAGACTCAGCTACACAGTAAAGGACCAAACCAGAACAAGTGATTATGGGATAAAATCTTGTCTTTAGTACAAGCATTTTTGTTGCAGGGAAGGAGAATTTCTCAGAACTTGAGAGTTCAGCAGTAGAAACGCTTTCAAAAATATTCCTGACTATTCCTGGTTTTCCACTTCATAAACTCCCAAACCCTACAGTGGGGAATGGAGTGGAGAAAGGGCTGTCACCTTCACCACAACTAAAGAACCACCATGCAGTAGTATGGATTTCTGAAAGCACACAGGCAGCACCCTAACAGCTGTAGGAGGAACCAGGAATGGTCCCTTTTGGCCCATCCCTCATGTCTTATCTGCAACTGGACAAATCCTGATGCATGCCTAAGCTGTTACTGATGAAAATTTGGTAGCTTCTCCAACCAGTTCTTCCCTTGCTCCACAGGCTTGACCTTTCAAAAGTAGTCTAACGTGGGTCTTCCTTACCGATGCCTTTATACACATCATGACATTGGGATATTACTCCTCTCCGCTTTCCGGCAGCCCTTCGGGTACGCCCAGCTACAGCGGAAGGGAAGGGTGTGCTGTGTGCCTACCTCTGTCTTCTGCTTTTTGCCCTTGTAGGTGACTTTCTGATGTCGTCTTTTTTTCTGTAAATGAATGCGCCTGTCACAGTTCTCTCATCTGGGTGTCTGAAAGCTCTCTTCTTGGCAGGGGAACAGTTTTGGTATTATTTCATTGTCCATTTCCCTCTTAATTTTGTCCTTTCATTTCTCTCTCTGTCCCTTTGGGTGTATTTGCTCCAAGCCTTCCTCTTTATTTTCAAGAGTGCTTATAATCTCCTCCTAACATGAACTGTGTGTTCCTGTACTTCAGCTTCTCTTCAAAGATTTTATTTTTTTTCCCCCAGTATCTCATCTTTGACTTTGATTAATGTAACTGTTGTGATTTTCCTGGACATATTCCCAAGACTTAGTCTGGGTTTTCAAATCCCTCTAGTCGTGGTACGGAATTCTAGCCTGCAGTTCAGAGTTGCCATGTTCCACGCATGATGTCTCTTTTATTTAATTCAGTGGGATGTGAAAGAAAGCTTAGGACACTAGTTTTATAAAAGCGCTGCTTTTTTTTTTAACTCTAAAATTCTCATTCACATAGCTTGAAAAATAAGGGTTTATGCAGCTTCTACTATCTGGAGAATCTTTTTTTTTTTTTTTCTTGGTCTAATTGATGTAAAAATGCACACTCTTCCCTTTTCTGTGTGTCCAGCTCTAGCTTTTACTGGCTTTCATGAAACATGAAAGTATTAGTACAGTCCTGCTTCAGGTGGTTCATATCTTTGTGTTACAGTTCAACCTGCTTTCCTCAGATCCTGTTTTGGTAACTTCATGTGTATTGTATAGGGGTTTTAACCATTTTCTTTTTTCTTTTTTTTTTTTTTTGCCTAAAAAAAAATGGTTCTGGTTTCTCTGAATACTGAACAGTGCTAGGAATATTTTTGTCTGTTTTATGAGTGTACAGGTCTGCAGCCGGGGGAAAATTAGCTAGCTGTATCGTAATGCAAACTGTACTGATAGTTCCCTTTTTGAAGGGATCATTGATAAATACAGTTTGAAGGAGCAGCCTTAGAGGCATCACCCTGCCACCCCAACTCCCCCTCCCCAGCAAATACACATCAAGCCCATTGAAGGGGACCTTATGACAAGAACTTCCAAGCAACTTGGTCAAAAGATAAGATGGACAAGATTGCTGAATTGAGGACATAAAGCTTACAAATCAAATATGTTTGCTCAAAACTAAATTTGAAACATTATGTGTGTAGTCCTGACAGCCTCAAGTAAATTCCAAATTAGTGTTTTACGAGAATTTTCTTATTCAGTGTCAGAAGCTGACCTTGGGTCGTTATCAGAGCTGAGTGAAGCTGTTTGCTAAAAATCAGTGTGCACTGTAACTCCACCAAGCTTAGCAACTTAGGTTCAGTAGAACACAGCATTTCACCTAAGTCTTCATTTTGACACATTTTTCTGTTGGTTAATGAAAATTGAGGTAGACAGTGTACCACCGTATTTGAATGACAGGTAGCGTGGTATGTTTGGGGATTGTGAAAATTCATTATATCGTCTGATGCCATGAAAAAAAAACACAACAGGATCTTGAAAGTCTTGAAAGGTTTCATACTTTCGTTGTGGCTATGGCAGTATGAAACTATAAAAATGACTTCAGTGCTATACAGTACAGCTGACATTTCCTTTTGGCTTTAGGGAGAAGCGAAGTCTTTGATACTGTCACAGCTGTGAGATGAGAAGCTTTAATTAAAAAGTTCTTTCTCCTGTTGGGTAGCAATAAACAAATATCCTGTTGAAGGAAATGTAACTTTCATTTTTTTAATCAGGGTGATTAAAGTCTTATGATTATGTTTGCAGATGTTTTGGGGCAATTCTTGCATAGAAGTTTTAACAGTCTATCTGTTTTCATCGTTTATGTATTCACAGCAGTATTTGTGCGTCAGTGTTTAACGCTTTATTCTGTGTAATTAGCAGGTTTTGAGAAAAGGACCATACTTTGTACTTTCACTGTGCACTCTGCTACTGTCTTGATGTGAAATATGGGACCCCATTGTGATAAATTTATTTTAACATGGTAGTGCAGTAGAGACAATGGCAAAAATTTTAAGAGTATGTGTATCTTTTTTTTTAATAAGTAAATTTTATTTCCAGAATGCTTAATTAAATTCTCTAAACACACCTTAAAACTGTATGTGAGTGGCAAAAATTTAATTGTAAAAGGCAAATGCACAGCGTTGGTCCAAAATGAGCAAATATTCCTCAATTTCTGGCTTAAGCAGTGGAGGTTTCCATAAGATCTCTGGAAGCAGGGCCACCCTTTAAACGGAAGAGTCTGCCACTTTGATTCGCAGTGATAAACTCATCTTTTGTACTTAGCTTTTCAGATGGCCGCTCAGAAGTGCAGTTTTCTTTATTAAAAGGTTATTTTTATCATCAAGTGAGTATTACCAGGTTGGGTTTTATTACCTTCTGCTGGAGTTCACTTAAGCCTCCATAAATATTGGTACATTTATCATCATCAGACATCACATAGAATCATAGAATGGT